ACATTAATTATGTGTGGCTTTCCCTCCCTCTTCCTTAAGCATTTCCCTCCCATATCAAGACCTTCAGACCGAGGGCAATGTGGATAATTTCCCAGTTTTCCATCTGGGCAGTTCACCAAGAACAAACCCAGACATCAAGGCCAGACCAAAAAAATCTTCTTGTTTTAGACAGAAGACTCCTACATCTGGGGGATTTAATGCACCCACTGTCCGCTCGGTGCATTTCCTGTGTCCGGAGCTTCTCTGCCTGCCGGCTCTGGTCTCACAAGTTTCCATACCCTGCTGCCAACTTACAATAACAGAGGCAGCAGGCAGCAGGGTCAGAACGTCAGAGCCCTCTCCATCTGTGGGCGCGTGCTTTGCAAACTGAAACAAAAGCTTGGAAGACCTCACTGCAGGCCTTTCAGCCTTGACATCGGTTGTGCCCAGACCACCAGTTGCCTGGAATTAATACCCTCGGATCCAGTTCTCTACCATTAATGTTATCAACTTCATCAAGTACTTCCTCTTGGAGTGGTGTCTGCAGACAAAGAAATAAATCAAGCCCTTCCAAGTCCTGTTCCTGTCCGGATCCTGAGTCAAAAGTAAAATCTGAGTTGATTATCCAGAGCACTGTCTCCCTCCTTTATTGTTCCCAATGATCTGGGCAGGAACGGAGAGTGAAATCTCCCCAGGACATTACATCAGTTCCTTTTTACCCTTGGCATAAAAGTTCACCCTCTCACAGTCCCCCCAGACTCCCTAAGGCTTGCGGCGGCGCACACCCAGACGCTGAGCCTTGAAGCCCAGGACATCAAAGGAAGCCTGCAGGTAACCAGACAACTGGCCAACGCCTGCGCCCATTTTGAAATTTGTAAGACAGGAAATGGATTCAGGAAATAAGACTTTTCAATACATGGTCTTCATCATCCTTAAGTATTGTTAAACCTTAATAAGTTTTTAAGGAAAGGGAGCGATTCTGCCAATGACATTTGAAAGAAAATATTTGAAACTTCAGGATGCAAATACTCAAAATATCTGCTTATGATGGCCATCCTCTGTGACAAATGAAAAGTGACCCATAGATAAAATATGTATTCATTTTCATGGACAGTAGAATTGAGATCCATATTAGCTGTGAAAAGATTACCCCATCCCTAAAAGATTGCAGAACATTTCTATCATATGAATAATTTCAACCGTTAAAGTTAACTCCATGGGTCTAACCAGTACCTTGTAAGCATTTATTTGCATTTGGGTTCAAGTGATGAAGTTAGTACTTGTTATCCCAACCTGTATCATTGAAAGACTGACTAAGCACTTTAAAAAACTTTTTATAGTAGAAAATATCAAATTGATACAAAAGTAGAGAAAATTATATAATGAATCAAAATGTACTGATCACCAGCTTTAATATTCAATTATGACTGTTCTTGTTTCCTCTATGCCTTACCTACTCTCTGATTCTCCATTCAGATTTTTGTGACGCAGACTCCAGGTATATAATTTCATCTGTAAATGTGCCAGTACAGGACTGAGAAGATAAGGACCCTTTATAAAATCATAATCACAGAGCTATCATATCACCTGAAAACAAATAGTTCCTCAATATTACCAGTTTACTGACCCTGTCTTCTGTCATCTCCAACTGCTGTTACATCCATCCAGTCCAGTTTAAATCAGAATCCAAGCAAGGGTCTATACATTGGAAATGCTTGATGTGTTCCTTAAGTCTCTTCCAATCTATAGGTCTCCATTTGTGTGTTTCTGGTGCACATGTTTATTCTCTCTCTCTCTCTCTCTCACACACACACACACACACACACCCCAACACCTCTCTTGGTGTTTAAAAAGTTAGTCAAAAGTAGCATAACTTTTCCCTTGTACATTGTGTGTCTTTTTTTCCTCTGGTTACTTTCAAGATTTTCTCTTTATCTTCAGTTTTCAGCAGTTTGACTGTAATGTGCCTGAGTGTAGCTTTCATTGTATTTATTTTGCTTGGGATTTGCCAAGCTTCTTGGAACTTTAAGTTTGTCATTGTCACCAAATTTAGGGACAGTTTGGCCATTATTTCTTCAAATTCTTTTTGCCCCATTTTTTTTTTGTGTTCTCGCCTTCGTAAACACCAATTACCTGCCTATTAGACCATTTAATACTGTTTCAAAGGTCACTGAGGATATATTTGTTTTTAATTTTTATTACTGTCTTCATGTTTACTCACCCTATCTTCTGCAATCTCCAGCCTGCTGTCAAGTCCATCCAGCCCGTTCTTCCATTTCAGATATTGTAGCTTTTCAGTCCTAGAATCCTCTTCTTTTTTTTTTTTTAACACTTTCCATTTCTATTCTGACTATCTCCATCTGTTATTGCTCATTATGGCCATCATTTCTTTTAAGTACTTGAACTTATAGTTACTTTAAAGTTTTGGGGGTTTTGTTTGTGTTTTTGTTTTTTGTTTTTGCTAATTTCAATGTCTGTATCATCTCAGTCTGTTTTTGTTGATTGCCTTTCCTCTTGATTATGGATCATGTTTTTCTGTTTCTTTGCATGTCTAGAAAACCTTTAGTGGATACTGGATATCCAATAAAAATAAATAACACATTGTACAGACTCTATTATGTTTTATTCCTCTGAAGGGTGTTAATTTTTATTCTAGCAGGCAGTTAAATGACTAGCCAGTGACTCTGAATTGGTGGAAGCTTGGTCTTACATTTAGTTAGGATAGATTTATTTCAGTTTTGCCTTTAGCCCTCAGGTAAATCCCTTTGTCCCAAAACACTTTTCTTACTCCTGAAGTTAATAAATTCCTGGGTTAATAAACAGCCTGAGATATTTACAGAGCTTTGTTGATAGGACTTAAGCTCCAAACTCTGTCTCCAATACAGTGGCCAATACCTGAGATTTCTGCTCATATCTTTCAACCATCCAGCTGTTGCTTTTCACTGAGCTCTTTAGCAGCTCCCCTACTCGTGTGCTGTTCAGTACACATGTTAAGGATTTGAGGGAACTTTATGTGCAAATTTAGTGGCTGCTTCTTCTGAAGCTCTCTTCTTAATGAGACTTGCTCTCCCACTTTCCACCCCTCCCCCCATTCTGGCAGCTTCATTCTCTAATCCCTGACACCTTAAGCAACTTTCCATTCACTTTCTAGTTGCCACATATAACATGGACTTAGGAGGATCCTCAGGGCAAAAGCTGTATAAATTTGGACCTTACTTTGTGCACATCTTTACTTTCAAGAGTAACACCCCCTTCAGTTTTCTTTATGACCTTCAAATAACTCTTACAAATGTATTTTATCCAGATTCTATTTTTTCAATCTGAGGTAGATTAGTCCAACACAAGCCATTCTACCATTATTGAAACTGGAAGCCCTTTCTTCTCCATTAGAAAAATGGTAGCATATCATAAATACTTTATCTTGTTTTGCTTATCTAACCATAGAGCCTATAGATCAGTCCTTAGCAGAATATTGAGATACTCCTCGTTCCATTTTATAGCTGCATAGTTCTCCATTGTTTAGAGGAATACTATAATTTATTAAATGAGTCTCCTACCAGGAGCTATACCAATAATTAAGCACTTTTAAATTCATGGCAGCAGGTACACAGTAGTCACAAAATTAACACTTTGCCTTCAAGCAGATGATCTCTTGATGATAATTAACAATATTTTTTTTTGTTCCTTGTCTCATATCATAGGTGATATCAACAGGAATGCCCATTTTTCTGCCAACCCTGAGTAAAACTGCCTAAGAAACCACCACCTCTATCTCTGTTTACTAACCCTATCAGATTCCCAGACTCCCTTTGTACATTCTTCATATGGGTATTGCCATCATTGACAAAGGAGATACCTTTGGCCTGCTTTACTTAGAACCATGGCCAAGTCCCTGACTGGAACAGAAGCCTCAAGCATGCCCATTGTTTTTTGGTGAGACAGCTCTGGGAACAGATATGGCCATTAAAACCTCTCTAAGATGAGCATGGGGCCCTGTGGGAAGCTCCATTTTCAGAGGCAGATTTATCTCCTCCCCATCCTTAGCAGGGACTCTTAAAGTCACATGTGTGCTAGTTCCTCCCTCAGCCCAGCCTACAGAACTATTCTGTGGCTGAGCTGTGAACACTTCTGAGCAAGTGTCCTTGCTCAGTGGTCACCAGCTTGAAAGTTCAAGTGGGATGGGGTGGAGGTATGTGAGGGATCTCCATCCCTTCTTACTTCAGCCTGTCCCCGAGCACTTGTAGACAGGGTCTGTTCACTCAGAAACAAGGTGATCCTAAATGTTCTTTCAAGTACAATTAGATTGTTATTCTGTACATTAGGCCCACTGCTCGTGCTTAGAGCAGGTTTTGATATGACTTTCCCCCCAGTGTGTACATAGTAAAGAGGTAGATACTGTAATAGATACACAGGTTCTAGAATCTGATTGGAATCTGGTTCTAATCCCCAAAGTAACCGTGTGACCTCAGTTGCTTAACTCCTTTATGCCTCCATTTTCTCACCTGTGAAATAGAATTAATGTAGTTAGTATCTCCTACTTAGGAGTACTGTAAATTTAAAACAGTGCAATCCAATACCTAGGATATAGTAATTGCTTTATTATTATTATTATTATTATTATTATTATTAAATGCCAACAACTCCTGGAGATAGAGAATATGAAAAGTAGCTTATGAAAAGGTACGGCAAGTGAAAGCATCTGGAGAGAAACACTTTAGGACCCTGAAAGCCATGTTGAAGAGTCAAAGATAAAGAATGAAAGTTTGGCTTCCTTGGATGTGTGAGCCGCCAGTAGGTGGTTAATGGAATGTTTGTAGACATTCTTAGCTTGTCTAGTAGCAGGAAAAGAATTCTAAGTATGTGCGCTTTAATTATTTTTCAAGTGGTGAAAATGACACTACATCCTGGGAAGAAAGTTTATACCCTGCACACGCTCCACTGTTGACTGCTGTGGAGCCGCGGTGAGGTCCCTGTGCTGACACTCACTGGGGGCTGTGATTGCCTCTCCCTCTGTTCCACAGATAGTTGTGTCCAGAGGACCCCAAGGCCGTCAGTGGAGACTGTGCACCACAACCCTCCCACCATTGAACTGTTGCACCGCTCTAGATCACCCATCACGACAAATCACCGGCCGTCTCCTGACCCTGAGCAGCGGCCCCTCCGGTCCCCCCTGGACAACATGATTCGTCGCCTCTCCCCGGCCGAGAGGGCCCAGGGACCAAGGCTCCACCAGGAGAACAACCACCAGGAGTCCTACCCCCTGTCAGTGTCTCCCATAGAGAATAATCACTGCCCACCGTCCTCCGAGTCCCACCAGAAGCCATCCAGCCCCCGTCAGGAGAGCACACGCGTGATCCAGCTGATGCCCAGCCCCATCATGCACCCTTTGATCTTGAACCCCCGGCACTCCGTGGATTTCAAACAGTCCAGGCTATCCGAGGACGGGCTGCATCGGGAAGGGAAACCCATCAACCTGTCGCACCGGGAAGACCTGACATACATGAACCACATCATGGTCTCCGTCTCCCCGCCCGAGGAGCACGCCATGCCCATTGGGAGGATAGCAGGTAAGTGCGCGCTCCCTTTTGCCGCCACTTCAGCCTCGGGGGGACCTAACAAGGCCCCATTCTCTCCTTAGAACCTGGCGGCTAGCCTTACACCATTCCCAATTCCGTGCCCTCAAAGGCTCCGTGAAGGCGAGCGGAGGCTTCTGCCTGGATGAGGCGAAATCCCTGCCGGGCTAGTTAATGAGCCACTGGGACGAAGTAGTTAATGAGCCTCAGAAATGTTAAGAAACAAATGTCCTACATCCAGCTTATAAGGAGAGTCACACCAGAATCAGGGCTAAGCGAAAACATTTAAAATACAAGGTTTATGAGCATGTTAATGGCCCTGTCCTGAAGTTTCCAGTTGCTAATTAATAACCAGACACAGCATAAAGAACCTTTGTCTCAGATTCAGGCCTGTAATTCCATCCTATGGGCAGTAACTGAAATGCAGCCTTCACCTTGGGAGTTGGGTAGGAGAGAAAAACAGAATTATGGTGTTGGAGGTAGGTGGTGGTGGGTCGTTCGGATAGAGGAAATCACTCTCGAGTTCTTTTACTTTTATGACGACAAGCCCAAATTTGCTTCCCTAAGACAAGAAGTCAGTGGAAATCTACACATTGTATTTTTGCTAGTCTTCCCATAATTTACATGAAGTCGTTCTCCAGAAGCTTAATCCTCTAATCACTTGGCAGGGTTAGCTCTTTTCCTGGTGCATCACTCCATTTGTGAGACATTTGTTGAGCATCAACCATGCACAAATGCATTAGGAAGCAAGGGACACAGCGCTGATTTAACACAATTATTTCCTCAAGGAATTTAAAACTTACTGGGAGAGACAGATGTGAAAACCACTAACTAAGATGTAAGGCAGAATGAAATAAGTCCTATGTCCCATTCATTCAATGCACACACATTTATTCACTTATTTAGTACTCACTTACTGTGTGCTAGGATAATTAAGTACTGTGGAAGCAAAGCAGAGAGAAGGCGCATTTTGACTGGAGGACTTGGGGGCTGAGGTGATTTGTGTTCAATAGTAGGAGGAATGCATGGGGTTGTGGGGGAGGAAGGGCCAGACCTATTCAGGGAAAGGTGAGAAATGCCTCTTCCCCAGGAGTTGATGCCCCAGGACAAAGCTCCTGCTGAACCCCAGGACTGAGCAGTGCTCCTTAACAAGGTAACACCAGGACAGCACGGAGTCCTGCAGGCTCCCTTAACTACATCTGCATCAACTCCTTGTCCCTTTTTTATTTAAATCATTTGTTTCCAGATATTTCTCTGGCCCCAGGTGCACCTCCAGTGTTGCCTCAATGTTTTTGTTATAAATAATTACATCAAGAATGTTGAATTGAGAAAATAAGATGGCAAAGAAATATGACCTTGTGTTTTAAAAAACTATGGAAAAGGAAATGGTCTCTGTCTGGGATTTGATTCAAAATGATGCCGCAGCTCGGGCATGAAGGATGGATGGGGTCTACGTAAAACGAGAGCCCTGCGTTGATGGCTGTGTGGCCAGGCAGTGGCTACACAGAGCGGGGTCGCATGATTGTTCTCTCTACCTTTACATATAGATAAGTATTTTTTTTTAATAATAAACTGCGTAAAGAAGAGCAGGGAGAGAAGGAAGCAGAGCTTAGACCAAACACGAGAATTTCCCCAGACAGTTGGAGAACAACCCACATTACAGCGAATACTATGAACAACCCATCTTGTGCTTTCCAGCAAGACCCTTCTTGTATTGTTTCTTACATGGACTGCACAGCAGTACTGGGCATTTTGCAGATACTTTCTGCTTGTTTATGGCTCTCAGGACAGCGCTTTGAAGTAGCTTATTACTGCCATATTCATTTTATATGGGTCACTTGGACAGGGAAAACCATAGCGGAAACTGAGCCCCCGAGAAGCAGAGGCCAGATAGGGGTGGGTGACGCAGGACAGCCTCGCTGACCAACAGGTCGCTGCCATCTGTAGTGCTGCCCTCGCGGGGCCTGTCTGTTTTGTCCACCTCTTCTGTGACATAAAGAAAGTTAAGTCTTTTAGGCTTATGGAGTTATTTCTCCCTTGTTTACTAGATTTGTAAATTTTTAAATATTAGATCCTTAAAAATTATGCTACTCTTTTTTTAAGTCTTACTCCCAAACATGAGAATTGTTGGATGACAGATGTACTCTCATCTAGTCTAGTAAGACATTCCATGGAATATTGTACTAAGAGATGAACCTTGGCTCCTGAGGGTGCCTCCTCTCTCTTAAGAACACACAGAAAAAGGAGAATCTATGCCGGTCTTGATGATTCTAGGAAATCAGAATATTCATGTTAAATAACCCAGATCCTTTGGGGGAATGCGTTAATGCCTGCAGTATGATAGAATCCCCTAAAGTTATTCATTATTAGTGCTCTAATGGTATATTCAAAAGTATGAACATCTCCACGTGTATGTATTAACTAATATAGCCCGATGCAGGATTGGCTAATTTAACTTTATGAAAGTCACTGTTTTTTTCAAGGGTGAAATGAGACGGTTGAAAAATCTACAGTCTGACTCCAACTCCAAAAGTCTGTGATCTAAGACTTAGTCTTTATTCTGTAACCTGCCGAAGAGAACGTCACAATCCTAGGCTCCTTTGTTCGTTTGGGAGAGCCCTGTCTGTCCACCCCAATCCTTCTGGTGCCTTTTTGGATTACTCCGATCTTTGTAAAATTAATTCTTTTTATTGAAGGTCAAATTCATTGGGTGATTTCTATGTATAATGTAAAGTTCTGTGATTATTAACAGCCATAATAATCCTTCAAATCTCTATGAAGCAGTTGTCAGAAGCCTTAGTTCCTTTGGCTTTTTGAACGAGCACAGAGCAGAAGGAAATGAAGGTGCTATTGAATGTCACTCTGATGAGTACGATAGCTGGAGGATATAGATAGAAATGCTACTTATGAGTGTTAACCAAATAGTGAAGTCAGATTCTTACCCATTCAGATATAATTTGCTCAGGTACAATAGGGTTTATGCATTTGGATACCTTCTGCATTTAAGGCACTGTACTGCATTCATGGGGGTAGGGTGTTCGGAGGTGGAGATAGAATCTTTATCATGAAAGAGCTGGACACAGCTCTAAGTACAATGTAGGGTGTCTTTAAAAGGCTCCTATTAAATACTATAGGAGGTTGGAGTAGGCCTATCAGGGAAGACTTCATGGAAGAGATGGCTTTTGGCTGGGTTTAGATGAATGCTTTGAGTATGGACAAGTGGAAATTAGGGGGAAAGTGGTTATTCCAGATGCAGAAAACATCAGCAAGGTAAGGTTCAGTATATTTTGTCTACTTCAGATAAAAATGTAAATCTAAGAATCCAGGTCTATCAAAAAATCCCTCACACTTCATCAGTTCTTTGTATTTTCACTTCTGAATGTTGAGATACATCAATTAAGAGACTACATGCAAAGTTATGATAGTTTACTTGGGTATTTATCTCGTGACAAAACTAAAGGAAGCAATAAAGGAAATTCAGGAGGTAGTTGACAGTTTCAATACAAACTACTAATTAGATCTATTAAAATAGACCGTATAGCTTATTTTTAAAGGTGTTGTTTATTTTCCAAAGATAAGATGGACTGTTAGAGGGTTGAACAAGTTGGAATGGCTGGCGTTTCTGAGAGAGAGCTTAACATCAGCCAGAGGGAGACTTGATCCTGGCTTCTATTTTTTTATTGAATAGCTAATGTTATCTGGAACAGTGAGCAAGTTGCTTCTTTTTGTGCTTATTTTCTATTTATTATTCTTAGGGAGAGATTGCTGGGTGAGGCAGGGGAGGAGGGGCAGCATCTGTCAACCGTCTAACATTTTTCTCAGCCCACAAAAGTTTTACTGGTCTGTGTCTCACCAATGTGTTTTGTAAGTAAAGAGTATATTGGCAGTGAACACCATTAAGTTGATGAAGTGTAGCTCTGGTGATGGCATGAGTCATGTTTTCGGTGTACATTGAAATTCATTCTTAGAACTCCATGATTTCAGAGCTAGAAAGGTCTTTTATAGACGAAGAAAAGGAGACTCAGACACATCAAGGGTCCAGCCCCAAGCTTCCGTTTAGCCTTCTCTCCAACATACTTGTCTTGTCTCCTTCTGACCTGGGACTCCAGAGCAGGGATTGGAAACTGCAGGGGCCCATGGGCCAAATCAGCCACTGCCTGTTTTTGTAAGTTGAGTCTTATTGGCACATGGCCACACCCAGTCACTTAGTACTGTCTCCGGCTGCTTTTGTGCAGCAGAGATGGTTTGGCCAGCAAAGCCTAAACTGCTTACTGATGGGCATTTCACAGAAAATGTTTGTTGCCCCCTGTTCTCCCGCACTGCTTACTTGTCTGATCAGTGTGCTTGCAACCATAGGCATAAGGGGGCTCACGGAAGTAGAAAATGCTGTCCCTCTTCTCAAGGAATTACTTGCACTTTAGAGCATGAGGCACACCTAAGACATGTGGGAGGAACAATAACAAGTGATGTAAGAAAGGAGACACAAGTTCTAGACCACAGGCTGTTTGCAGAGCAGTCCGGAATGGTTACAATAACATCGTCAACATAAATAAAAGACAGCTGAGTAAAAGAAATTATTTCTTTGCATACAATTTCTTTGAATTGTATAGTTAAAATCATTCGTGCATACAATTTCTTTGAATTGTATAGTTAAAATCATTCATTCATTTATCCAAAAAATTATCATGAATCTCTATGTTCCAGGCATTTTTCTAGGTGATGGGCAGAGAGTCTCTAAACGCCAAGTTTTGCATCTTTTGTGACCTACACGGTGTCCTTCTTACATTATGCCATCAAACAAACTAAGCACCTGCTTTTTTAAAAAAACTATAAACAGCTAAGTCTTAAAAGAAAAATTGTAAGTCAGTGTGGCTTTCTCTTAAAATTCTTCAATTCCATTAACACCTGAGTGATCAGACTTCCTGTCTGCTTCTTCCTTTCTTGGCCTTAATCTAAAAACCTGCTAAGGAAGAAGATTCATTGGCACACTGCTT